TGGAAGGACAAGTCATGGGTTCTCCACCAAGACAATGCGCCGGCTCATTCCGCATTGTCTGTCAAGAGGTTTCTAGCCAAGTTCAGCATCCCAGTGTTAGACCATCCGCCTTATTCGCCAGATCTTGCGCCGTGCGACTTCTATCTGTTTCCTAAGGTGAAATCTGCCTTAAAAGGAATAAGATTTGAGTCCGTTGAAGCTGTGAAAGAGAAAGCGGCACGCATCCTGAAGGAGCTGACAGAAGAAGACTTTTAGCACTGCTTCGAACAATGGAAGATTCGCATGGAGCGTTGCAGGGATAGAGGAGGGGTGTATATTGAAGGTGATAATAAGTAAAAATATATGAAATCAAAATAAAATGTTTTACAGCGTCAGTCTCGTTATTTAATAGCCACACCTCGTATATATATTGTGACGTGGCGGCCGTGGAGGCGCCCGTCTCAAGAGTACCGTACCGGATCAGTGTGAGAGTTTCGCGTATCGCGTGTCTAACGGTTTTCGCGAGTATTTTCGAATGTCGCGTTCCGGCGTGTGTTTGTTTGTGAACGTCGTTAGAACAAAGATTGGAAGCGACTTTTGCGAGCGGAGCAGATGTGGAGGTCAGCGCGTCCCTAACTTTGTGCACACCCCGACGCCCCGGCCGGCCACCAGGACTGGAGGAGCGGAGGCCATCGAAGGACGAGAACGCAGCGACCGCCAACTCTATACACGCACGATCAGGTGAATCGCTCTCTCTCATTATTAGATATTGCCGTATGCCGGATTATCGCGCACTCAATATTCGTGAATCTCGTACCGCTGAGAATATGTCGAAATATGGAAGCAGTATTCTGTCAGCGATGTTTACTTCTAGCGAAGCAGCCGTCATGAGAGCCGAAAAAAAAAACGGGAGCGCCGAGACAGACAGCGAGATGATCCGCAACGTCAACAAGGTCTCGAGGCATAACCGTCTCGAGACCAGAATACCGATAATTGCCGATTCCCGACTACCGAAAATTGCAGGACGAGGAGAGAAGGGACGAAGGAGGATGCGCGAGGATACGCGATCCTCCCGGAACGGCAGCTGATCAGTCTTGCCGCGACCGTCGCCGCGACCAGTTTCGACGGCTACCATATCGGGACAACGATCGTGAGCGAGAGAGAGTGAGATAGAGAGAGAGAGAGAGAGAGAGTGAGATAGAGATAAAGAGAGAGAGAGGGAGAGGGAGGGAGAGAGAGAGCGCGAGAGAGGGAGTGAGAGAGAGAGAGGGGGGGGGAGAGGGAGTGAGAGAGGGCCGCAAGAGAGAGAGATAGAACGGGAGAGAGGAGTCGACAGGACGGGGACCGTCATCGCCGCCGCTGCAGCCGACCCGAGGGCCGTCAACGAAACTGTAAGACCACTCATCTGCTCCGTATTTCGTCCACTCCTCCGAATTCGTGTCATTATCGCGCGCATACTGTGTCTCGCCCGCGGAGCGGCCGCGCGCGCCATAAGGCTCACCCGAGGAAATCGTCCTCGGGTTTATCATTGTAGCGACCGTATTACCGTCCGTGACTGTCGACTCTTTTAGTGAATTGTACCGCGCTTCTTACCGGGATGTGCGAGAGTCCCATAAATAAACGTATGATTACCGACGACGCGTAGGATCGCTTTTCTTTCACCCTTCCCTAACCCACCCCGTCTTCGACTCAAAATCCTGTGAGCGACCGGTCCGGACGGTTCCGGGATACGCGATTTTTGTGATATTCATCGACTCTCGCGTTTATCGAGGTGGTGCGGCCTTTCCGCACCTGGCGCCCAACTATCGCGTACGTTTTGTGGTGTCCTCCGGAGCCGACGGCAAATTGTCGCGACTGGTAGGCGACTATCGGCCGTCGCTCGCGAAATAATTTCGCGAATCGCGTCGCAATATATATATATATATATATATATATATATATATTAGGTGGTAAACTTAATTCCTGCGGCTCACAGTTAGATGACGTTAGTTGTAGGTGTAATTTATTTTGACATCTGAAATTGGCTGCATTTTAGAGGTTAGACATTTGTCTATAAAATTCAGTGCGAAGAGGTTCATTTAAGCGAGCAGTGCTATTTTTTCTTTTGATTAAATATGGAACGTGATAAGTTGTTTTTTCGACATGTGCTGCTTCATTACTTTGTGTTCCGTACGGACATTAGCATGTTCGGGCGGAGCGTGTATAACGGGCGGTCGGTCGGCAGGCGGCGCTCGGCTCGCAGCCGCCGGTCTCCCGCCGCCGGTTCCCGCCGTCGCTCGCAGTTAAATTTCGGTGCAGCGCCTTTATAAGACGCTGCGGGCGACGACTCGGGGCCTTTTGCCTGTTGCCAGCTTTGACTGCGCTTACACCAGCAGGTATTCTTTTGAGCTCTAGCTAGCTTTATATCGCCTTCTTGAGTGCGCAAGCACGTTGGACACTTGCCTCGCCAGAGGTATACGTTTTGCATATCCGCATCGATCTTCATTGCCTTAAGAGTGTCGTAGACACGTTGGCATTTGTGTTTAGGTCTTCGGTGACTCTACACAACCCTCCGCAGCCCTTTAGAGTGCGCTTGCACGTTGGGCTACTGTCTCTAGAGTGTCCGAGGACACGTTGACATCTGTGTTACGAAGTGTATGGTAACTCCACGGATTTCCACCTTCTCAATACGATCGAGGATTGAGAGAAGGCTTCGCGCGACCACTTCAGGTTACCTTGACATCTCCACTGCGGTGGACGTCTCTCTTCGCGACATCTCCGTATTGCACATACTGAATATTATCGCCGACAGAACTTACTGTTGGGATCACGACTCCGCACGAGTCGTCCTTGTCGTCAAGAACTCTGCTGCCAGGGCCGCAGCTCTCCCGCGAGCCACGCTCGCTAGTACTCCGCTGCCAGGGGCGCAGCGCTCACGCGAACCAAGTTCGCTGGTATAAGTTTATTCACAACTTAACAGGTCGTCGCATTCGCGACTTTACACACGAGGGATATTCGCTTCTAGACCCGACGTGACTTAGCATTCGTCACGCACGCGGTATTATCAACGCACTTTTACGGTTACGTGTACGTCAACGTCAGGCTTCGACTCAGCCGCGTACGCGATTCAGAGTTACGTTTGCGTTTAGGCTCACTACGAGACATAGCATTTGCCGCGTGCGCGACTGTTCAGGCAAGCCCCGCTCGCCTGGTTATCGTCTCGGATTCAGCCTCTGTTGCTCCCTCGCCAAACAGAGTTGAATCTCATTCGGACTTGGTTCCGACACTCACCACAGGAGACGGACCAGTGTCGCCGTACTCTGAGTGACTATCATCCTCCGAAAGGGGGATTTCTTTCCAGCGCGGAGGCGCCGGGCAACTCCACGCGGGCTTTATACTGAGCCCCGCAGTGCTCTTATACACAAGAGCGCTCTCGCACTTTCCTCCCATCATCTGACGAGGCTCCTGAATAGGAGAGCACGACATATACTCGCGCAACTGACGATAGCAGTCGACGAACGTTCGACGGCATATGACGAACCAGCCGCTCTAGACCTCAGGCCGTTCGAAACACTTTGACTTGAAAAAAACTGCAGCTGCAGCTCATAAATTGCTTTTCGAAGCTTATGGCAATTATGTTCCATCGGAAAGAACATGCCAAGTATGGTTTCAGCGATTTAAGAGTGGTGATTTTGATGTCAATGATAAAGAACGCTCAGGCCAACCGAAAAAGTTTGAAGACACCGATTTGCAGGCATTATTGGACGAAAACTCTACTCAAACGCTCCAAGAATTGTCTGCAGCATTAAATGTTACTCCGATGGCTGTTTCCAAACGTCTACATGCAATGGGAAAAATTCAAAAGGAGGGAAAATGGGTACCACACGAATTAACCGCAAATGCCATTGCGAATCGCTTAAACATCTCTATTTCTCTGCTCGCCAGGCAGAAAAAGAAGAGTTTTTTGTGGCGCATAGTGACTGGCGATGAAAAATGGATATACTTCGATAATCCTAAACGAAGAAAATCATGGGTAGATGCTGGCCAACCATCAACATTCACACCAAAGAGAAATATTCATGGCCACAAAGCAATGCTTTGCATTTGGTG